CTGTAACCTATTTTTCTCTCTATTTGGAAGATTTATGTTTAAAATTTTTTTGTTGGGTTAATTTTTAAATTTGACATCTCCCCATATTCTTTCAGTGATTTCATTAAATTTGGCAATGTTATTCTTGGGTTTCCCACATAGAACGGCATGTCATCTGCATAAGCTGCCACCTTATGCTCCGTATCTCCTATCCAAATTCCGTTTATATCTATATTATTCCTTATTGTAGCCAAAAGAGATTCCAATGATAAAACCTATAGCAATGGAGACAAAGGGCATCCCTGTCTAGTTCCGTTCTGCATCCCAAAATACTCTGACAATTCCCCATTAACCATGATTGCTGCTGAGGGTTGACTATATAATTTCCTTATCCACTCTCTCATTCTAGGTCCCATCCCCAATACTTCCAATGTATCCAACATATATCCCCAATCTACTCTATGAAATGCCTTTTCAGCATCGATGGAGAGTACCACCGCAGGTATTTTCTCTTTCCTACTTTTTTTTGTATGAGAAACAGATCTCAGTCCGTTATCTCTACCCTTTCTCCCTGGGACAAAACCTACTTGCTTTATGTCTATCCATTCCGACATTAGGTCTTTCAACCTGTTTGCCAGAACTTTTGCATATAGTTTGGTATCTGTGTTTAATAAGGAAATCGGTCTGTAACTTGAACAGTGAGTATCATCTTTACCTTCCTTATGTGTGAGAACTACATGGGATTTCCTACTCATTTCCATCTCTCCTCCCAATGCTTTCATATATTTCCTCAGTTTAGGTACTAATAATTCTTTATATTTTCTATAATATCTCACTGTGTATCCATCAGGTCCTGGACCTTTCCCAGCTATAGTGCTCTTTAATGCTAAGTGTATTTCCTCCTGCATTATTGCTGATTCTAGGGATTTTAATTGCTCCTCACTTAATTTTGGTAATCCTGCCTTTTTTAAGTATGTCTGTCCTTTTTTTTTTTTTTTTTTTTTTTTTTTTTTATTTTTCCTACTTCATCTTTACTTATGGAGTTGTGGGGGATAATATTATATAGCTTATTATAATATTCTTTAAACACTCTAGCTATATCTTTAGTTGAATACAATAAATCTCCTTTGTGGTCTCTTATTTTCTCTATATAGTGCCTAGAATTTTTTTTTCTCTGAGCCCTCATTTTAATACTTTCCTGGCCTATTTCCCCATCTGTATCTCTCGCTTATCATTTTATTGAACACTTCTCTTATCTTATTCCAGAAATGTATTTAATCTTTTATTTATTACCTTCTGCATAATCTCTTCTGTTACTTTGTGTCTGCTCTAACTCCCAGAGTTCACTAAGAAGCGTGTTTATTTTTTTCTCTTCTTTCCCTCTTCTTTTTTGCTCCAATCGCTATCAGGATTCCTCTAATATAGGCCTTATGAGCCTCCCACACTGTTGCTATGGACACTTCCCCAGAATAATTTTCCTCAAAAAATTGCTTTATTTCCTTTTTAATTCTCTGATCCACCTCTGAATCCTGGAGAAGTGTCTCATTTAACCTCCATAATTTCCCCCGATCTGCTCTTTTACCCATAATTGCATTGTGACGGGCGTGGTCTGATTATTGACATCACTTTTATTTTTACTTTGACCAGAGACTTGATAAGTCGATGGTCCAGCAATATATAATCCAGTCTTGAATACATCGCATGAGAATAAAACGTATAGTCTCTGTCCTTAAATGTGCTTTATTCTACGTATATCTACAAGTTGATATTGGTATATCATTTTTTTTCAAGGATTTCAGAGACCTACTACAATCTCTTTGCACAGGGGACGTCATATCCATCTGGGGATCCATGCTGAGATTGAAATCACCTGCCACAATTAAATTGCCTTTTTTGAAATCCAATTTCCTCAGAGTATTTTTTAGGAATACCTCCGGTTTTCCTATTCGGGCAATTAATATTTGCTAATGTACAGTCTATTTCCTGTAATTTTCCCTTCAAACAGAAATCTCCCTTCCGGATCTACCAATCTGTCTTCCAGCTTAAACCTTATATTTTTTGCAAAACCTATTGCCACTCCCTTGGCACGTTTAATTGGGGAATCTACATAAAACCACATTGGATAATATCTGGAATTTAATTTCACATTTGATTCTTGCACCAAATGTGTCTCCTGTAAAAAAAAAAAAAAAAAAAAAAAAAAAAAAAAAAAAATTGAAGAAAATCTATGTTGAATTTCTTTAAAAATCCCAAATCTCTTCCCAGGACTATTTTACCCTTTAACATTATAAGTCACAAAGTGAATCTCTTCCATTCCCCTCCTCTCCTCACCTCTATCTTCCCCATCTCTTCTCTCTTCCTCTTTCCTACACAGCTTCCCCTTTGATTTCTAGGATATCTCCAGACTGATGTTTCTCCCACTATTTCGCAGAGTCTTAAACTACCTATCCCCACCCCATACCCTCCCCCAACCCTCTTCCCTCCCACTCCTCTCCCCCCCCCCCCCCCCCCCCCCCCCCCCATCTCCCTTTTTGGCTTATATTTTGCCTATGAATCATTTGTGGTCCTAATCCCACCTTTGATTCAGCTTTTAAGGTGAAACTCTGACCATGAACTTTCCCCAATAAGCGTGTCTCATCCTCTGTGTCCTGCCATACTCTAGTAAACTTCAAAAATCATAAGAGAGAGGCAGAAATGTAGGGAGAGAGAGGGGAGGGGAAAAAAAAGGCGAGCACCCTACCATCTTATTCCTCTTTACTATTCCTACTCTCTATTTCTCCTTAGAGCTACTTGCCTCCCCTCATTTTCCATAGCCCACATTTCTCCTTCTTCCTCCCAACCAGGGACCTTTATTTTCTGTATATCAAGTCTCTCACAAAAGTCTCTCAGATCTTCAGGGAATCCTTAGTCTTGCTGAACATCCATTTCTCCATCCGATCAACACGCTGGAAACCCCCAGCTATATCGAAAATTCTGTTTTCTTATCTGTTCCAATAACGGTTTCAAAGTTCTCCTTCTTATTAATGTTTCCGCTGCTAAATCAGCAAAGATCTGTGTATTTATGTCTCCATATTTTATTATTGCTCTTCCTTTTATCTTCTTCCAAAGCTTTTCTTTATCCCAAAAATTATGGAATTGCACTATTACATCTCTTGGCATTTCCTTTCTATCTTCTTGTATGTATTTTCCTATTCTATGTACTCCCTCCATTTTGAGAGGCTCTGTTATAGTTCGATCCATTATAGTATTCAGCATTCTCGTTATTATTCCCGTCAAATCTTCTCCTTGGGAGATCTCTGGAAAGCCTCGTATCCTTAGATTGCATCTCCTATCCCTGTTCTCCTGGTCTTCCAATTTATATAACAGATTTCTTTGTTGTTTTCTCATTTCCATCTCCTGTTTTTCTAATTTATGTATAATTTGGACATGTTTATCTAGTTTTTCTTCTGTCTCCCCCACCCTTGATAATATTTGCCCCAGGTCTTTGTGTAATTTCGCCGACTCCAGTTTTAGGGATCTTTCAAGTCCTTTAAACATTTCTGCTTTAGTAGGCATCTGTGAGCTCTCCATATCCATATCCACTTCTTCCATATGTTGACTACTGTTAGCTATTCCCAGGGATAATCTGGAACATTCCCTGCCGGTTTCTCTCTCACCTGTTACACCTATTCCCTGTTGTCTCTCTGGAGTCTGTTTCTCCTGTGAGGGTATATATTTTTTTAATGGACCCTGTTTGGAAAGCCTTAGGCCCTCCTCCCTTTTTTGATACTTTGTTTTTCATGCTGTCAGGGACTATTTAAATATTTCGCAGTTCTGGTTTTGGGGGGAGGCCTATTTTTGATTTAATATCAAAATTTGTTGTCTTCCATGGGTATTCCCCTCTCAGTTCTTTTCTTCCTTTTTCTCTCCCCCCCACTCCTGAACTCATCTACCCGGGCCCTCTTCTTCTAGGTCTTTATCTGTTTTAAATTGTCCTCCTTCTTATTTTCTTCTAAGACCCCCTGGGTGAACCCCTCCTCAATTTAAATATATAGTTCAATACATACAGTTCAGTTCCAATGCAATATATTAATCTTGAGTACTTTTGCCTCTCTCACGCCAGGTACTCTCTTCTGGGGAACATTGCACTTTACATTCCCCTCACACAATGAGTGGATTGCAGGGGGGGTTCACCCAGCCCGTTTACGTGTGTCTCCAGCTGCCACAATCCTGTGTGCAGGAGGAAGAGCGCCGGCGTCTCCCTTGCTCCAAGAAATGGCGGCCGGCTCCTTTGCCTCCCAGAGCTCCCTTGCACCAGATCACCTGATCACCCGACGTCCACTGAGCTTCGGGGAACACACAGCACCGGGCCGAGAGCACAGGAAGACCAGCCGTGATGGCCGCCACTCCTGGAGGGTCCTCGCTCCACGCACCACGCCAGGCAAGCCCCCCCCCCCCCCCCGGCTAGTTTCTCCAGGGTTTCCCGCACATCTCTCCCCTTCTTGGCAGTCCACTGGTGCTTGAGAGTCGGGAGCCCTCACATCGAGCTCCCGCTCCAAGCCATGGTCAGGCTCCTATCTCCTATTTAGAATATTGGTGTTTATTTTGCAGTACCTCAAGTGTTTTCTTCTTTTTTTCTGTTTTTTTACACACATACACACACACACACACGCCTCACATTTTTGTAAATATTTTATTCTATCTTTTCATGTGACAACACTGAAGAAATGACACTTTGCTACAATGTAAAGTAATGTGTCCAGTTTGTATAACCGTGTAAATTTGCTGTCCCCTCAAAATAACACACAGCCAGTAATGTCTCATGAATTCAAAATAACAAATTTTAGAAACTTTAAAAAACAATGGAATATACTGAATACTTTTATTGCAGTTATAAACTTCATACAGTTGTCAGAATACAATATTTTTCTAAATTATGAGATTTAATTTTGCATGAAGATTGAATTTTTAAATTATTATACTATATATAAAATGTAATATGTTCTTTAGGCTGTAGAAATATCTTGGTTTTCTTTTTCTAGGTGGAAATTCTACCAGGAAAAGTTTTCTTCACTGGAAAGCCAGATTTGAATGGAATAAAAAATGTTAAATCTGCAGAGAGAATGTTTTTGCTCCTAATGAAGGGGCCACCAGTTTATCTTGCTAAACATAAAGGTACGTTTTGTTAATGGGAATGTATAAAGTTTCTTTTTAATTTTTTCATTTACCATTGGCAGGGTTAAAATTAAAAAAATGTTAACTTTTTTTCTTTTTTAGTCAAGGTAACATAAAATAATGCATATAAATGTTATTCAGACAGCAAGCATAGACCTTCCCATATGTTAGTTTATCCTTATCTGCTTATATTTTGGGGAAATAATAACTTTTGTTTAGAGCTACAGATTAAATTTTTTGCACACAGCTGCATATGGGGAGTGAATCACTCCACTACCAGTCTATTCAGAGGGCTTCATTCAAAAAAAGTCTGAACGTAAACCCTTCTGTCTGCAAGGAAGCTTACTTTCCTAAGGATGAACCATTTTGGTGATTGGGAAATGACAAAGCTTTTGAGGATACACCTTTTGGGTGTCCCCTCTGTAACTTTAATCAACTATTCACTGTCTTCTTATTCAATAATAGAAGCTGTGCATCCAGATCAGCGTGACCTCAGTAAAACCTTGGGAGCCGTACAAAGACGCAATGTTGTAGGAATGGCTTTTAATGTTGCATCATGCACTGTACCCTGCTTGGATGCTCAACGTGGTGCAACGTATGTTAGACACAGTGTGTTATAACGGTCCAGGGCCGTGGTCCATCCCTGTGGAACCCAGTCCCTGAAGACCCCTTAGGGGGTATGCCCACCGTGATGGGCGAAGTCTGGACCCTATATAGCAGTGGTTCTCAACCTTCCTAATACCGCGACCCTTTAATACAGTTCCTCATGTTGTGGTGACCCCCAACCATAAAATTATTTTCGTTGCTACTTCATAACTGTAATTTTGCAGTGGGAGGAGTAGTGCCACATCATTTGGTGTCAGTGGGAGGAATAGTGTCCCATCACTGATGTCAATGGGAGGAATAGTGCCCCATCATTGGTGTCAGTGGTAGGAATAGTGCCCCATCATTGGTGTCAGTGGTAGTGCCCCATCATAGAATAGTGCCCCATCATTGGTGTCAGTGGGGGGAATAGTGCCCCATCATTGGTGTCAGTGGGGGGAATAGTGCCCCATCATTGGTGTCAGTGGTGGGGGGGGAATAGTGCCCCATCGTTGGTATTAGTGACAGTGGGGGGAAATGATGAGGCACTATAGTCATCGCTGGTCCCACTGTGCCAGTGGGGGGAATAGTGCCATCGCTGGTGCCAGTGAATAGTGCCCCATCCTGGTGCAGTGGGGGGAGTGCCCCCCTGCATGGGGGGGGGGGAGGAATAGTCCAGCCTGGGCTCGCTCGCTGCCCCTCCCTCTCCCATGGTACATGACACTATTCCTCCCCTGTCAGCTGTCTTCCTTCTCCGGCTCGCTCGCTCCCTCCTCTCCCTCTTCACTCGCTCGTCTTCTCTCCGCTCCTCCTCTTCACTCGCTCGATCTTCGCGGTGCCGCTCGGCTCTCCTCTCCAAGCTCCACCTCCTTGCCGGTGATTGGCCGCCTGTGTGCCTCTCCTGAGCTACAGTTCCAGCGGCCAATCACCGGCGAGGATTGATCCCGGGGGTGTGTCCAGATGACAGGGGCGGCATGTCATCCCGCCCACACCTGGAGACGGATAGAGGAGTGGTGTCTCGGTTCCTAAGACCATCGGAAATATGTGTTTTCCGATGGTCTTAGGCGACCCCTGTGAAAGGGGTCGCGACCCACAGGTTGAGAACCGCTGCTATATAGGGACCAGTGACATGGACAGGCAGGATAGGGTCACAAATATATAAACAGGGATAAATAATCACACAAGGCAAGATGTATGGCCTAAGTAGACATACATGTATACATATAAAGGTATCATAAGTGTGAAGTGAGACACACAACAATGGCAATCTCCTGCATTATAGTGATTCAAGATAAACGATGTGAATAGTGTCCATGTGCATATAACAAATTCCATGCAGATGTGAACTGCAAGTGCCAATCCTCTATTGCTGGGGTGCCCCCTCACCTTCCTGCCCAGGCCCCTAAGGACCAATGAGCCTTTGATACTACAATGGGTATCCTTCTGGATGTTTAGATGGATCTCTCCGATAGTAGTGGTGGTACTCCCTCCTCTTGTCTATACCATAAATCGTTGGTGGTACCAGTGTATGGCTCTCCAAGACGATCACCAGTAAGGCAAGAGAGACTCATATAGTGTAAAACTGTTTTAATTGAATGAATAAAAGATGAAATCCTATTTACAAAGCAATCCAAATGACAAAGCTTTCACACCACTCAAAGGGTGTACTGTATGCTGGAAAAAGGAGCACCAAGATGGCGCCCGCGCCGGATGTGACGTCACATTGTTGATCGTACAAGCTCCTCCCACTGGCGTATCTACGCGTTGCGTCACGAGAGACACGTGACTTCGTCAGGATATACACCTACCCCTGGTGGAGCTTAATTTATCTAACTTGTTGGCCAATCAGTGATCAAGATGGGCGGACCACAGCCGCCATTAAAGTGTAGTTCAAAACGCCAGAGCATATGTAAGACAACCCTATACAGCGGTATATAGATATAATATCCGAATATATTGCAGGTAGGGTTCTCATAAATGAAAATCACTGTATAGTATATATAAACCTTGGAAAATATGCTTGTGTAGGGAAAAAGTAATAATTAATAACTAGAACAGAGAATATATGTCTACTTGTGCATAATAATGCACTATATATAGATTTATAAAACGAATATAAAATCATAAAAAATTTTATTTGAGTAAAATGAAAATATATATAAAATTTTATAGTTAAAATTAAAACCCGAAAAAATGCTAAAAAAGCCCTTGTATACAGTACACCGATATTGTGATAATGCTTATAAGGCATACTTAAACAAAAATAAACCTCCAATCAATATAGATAATGATACTAAAAAATAACAGGGAAAAGATGATAAATCCTACTATAAGTAGGATACTACTCTAAATAGGACGCTGAGGGCCATTTATTCATCATAAAATGATGAAAGAGTATAAGACCTGATTACAAGTTACTAATGAAGCAATTCAGGTCAAATTCTACATTCAGACCTCTCGGAGCTTGAGACCTCATTAGAAAGATCCATTTGGATTCAGTTTGGCTAATGGATCGAACTTTATTGCTCCCTCTCCAGTGATTCTTAAATTTCTCTATACCCCGAAATTTGAGTTTTGAGGGATCACTTTGATGGTGGGTAGCAAAATGTCTGGAGACACTATGTTTCAGATGACCTTTTTTGATGTTTTGCACGTGTTCCCTAATCCTCTTCCACATGGGCCTCTTTGTTCTTCCTATGTACTGTAACCCGCAATCGCATTGGAGGCAGTTACACCACTCCCTCAGTGTGACATGTTATGAAGTCCTTAATAGTATATGTCACACCAGTGGTGGTTGCTTGGAACTGTTTCATTCTCATGTTAACCCTTCTTGTTTCCTTAGAAAAAGTAGAACAAGAAATAAAACACAGAAAAACTAAGAAATATCAAAGAGATTTGAGTGATTTTAGAAAAGACCAGGTCTTTAAATGGCAGGATAACATGAATTCTACAGTAGTAGCTTCAGTCAACACATCCCCAGAAAAGGTAACTAATCTGCCCCAAAAACAGGAACTACACCACAAGATAACAGACAAAGAAATAATTCATAAGAATACCCGAAAAATAACTATCATACCCCAATGAATAAAGGGAAACCAAAAAACAAAGGACCACCGTATAATAGACCCCAAGGGAATGGTTATGGGAACCAATGGAGACCACAACATCCACAATTTAGACCTCAATATCCTCCAAGGTATAATGGGAATCCATATCCTAATGACCGTCAGTTATGACCACCCAATAGAGATCAAGGCTATTATAATAATGATAGAAATTATTACCAACAATATAATGTAAGAAGCCCATTACCTATGTATAATCGCTTTGAACCTATTAGATATGATTACCCGCAGGAGAATTTTTTAGATAGGAGCAGAGTAGTAAGAAGTCCGGAGGGGGAAAGGAGAAGAAGCCCCCCAAGAAATATAGAGGGTGTAGAGCAGGAGCAAAAGAAAAAAAAGAAAAAGAGACCATTAGGTGTTGGGAGTATTCAATCTCAGTGGGGCGGACCTCTCTAGGGAAGAACTAGAGGTATTAGACAAAGGCCTGAAATTTGCTCCACCTAAACCTGCTAATAAATTTAATGTGTATGTGGATATGCTTAATTTAACTAGAAAACTTAATATTAAAAAATATTTTCTAGGAATCCCAGGGAGCTCAAATAGAACCAGTAGAGTGGCCTGTAAAATTATACATACTGATCTCAGGAACAAATCATTGTTCAACCCCCAGACACTTAATACAGAGGCGGGCTGCTGTGTCTTACCTGGGTCCACAACTCCGTGTCCCAGTCCCACGTCAATCTGGTCAATGAGGCGCTGCTGGAGGAGGGGTAGGGAGGTTGTCAGCGGGTCTGGTGTCTTCATTTCCCTGGATCGCGATGTGTGGGCGGGATGACATGCCGCCCCTGTCATCTTGCCACACCCCGGGTATCATTCAACAGCCTATGGCAGCTTGTCCCTCCCTCTGAAAGCTCCGCCTCCTCACCGATTGGCTACCGGAACTGTAGCTCAAGCAAGGCACACACAGCCAATCACCGGCAAGGAGGCGGAGCATGGAGAGGAGGAGCCGAGCAGCAGCGCGAAGATCAAAGAAGTGAGGGAGCAGCTGGCGCAAGTGAAGAGGAGAGCGGCCGGAGAAGGAAGACAGCTGACCGGTAAGTGTCTGTGCCGTGCAGATGGAGCTGCTACTGCAGCCAGGTATGCTGGCTGTGGATGGGAGAGGGAGGGAGCGAGCCCAGGCTGGAGCAGGAGTCAGCAAGGTAAGTATCATTGATGTCAGTGGGAGGAATAGTGCCCCATCATTGGTGTCACATGATGGGGCACTATTCCCCCCCATTGACACCAAGAATGGGGCATTATTCCTCCCCCCACTGACACCAAGAATGGGGCATTATTCCTCCACCCACTGACACC